GGCAGGAAACGCGCTTTTCTCCAGCAACTGACGGGCGACGCAGCACGAGCAACAGGGCGCCGGGTCCTGCCGCGCCAGGAGCAGGCGTGCGGGACCTACCCACACCGGCACACCACAGACCCTTTTTGTGGGAAACGGAAGAGACAGACTCAGTCACAACGCGCGCCCTCAGGCAGCTGCCCTCTGCGGCCGAGCGGGGCAGCCGGGCCCAGCGAACACCGCTGTGCAGGAGCTGCGGACCTCCAATACAGCTTGAATTGCGCCAACACACTTGCACACCCAAGGAGAGCTCCAACCAAAATTTGCACAGAAATTAAGACTGTGTTGCCGAACTGCATGCTCCTCACTCCCATCTTCAGTGGTCACAAAGGACTGTCCCGTTAGGGTCGCTTCCGTCCACAGCAATCTTCTAGGAAGGAGATCCTTTTGCATTTGGCACAAAGCCAAAACCTAAGTAAATGACATGCAAAATTAATCCACATTTGTGACTGTTATTGTTACTCATTGCTGTTACGAGGCTGTTCAGACTTTCATTCATACAATATCATACAAAGATCCATCAAAAACTGTACCAGAGTGTTTGAACGCAAGAGGTCGGTGTGCGGGAAGCCCACCTTGCGCAGACTGTCCCGGCTGCGCGGGAGCAGCTTTGCCCCCGTCGCATGGTCGGCAGGTTTGGGCGCGGGGCACATGGGGACACCGAGAGGGAAAGGGATGGGGAGCACACCTTACTGTTTGAGGTAACTGCCAGGGACTGCATCTTTCACATTCATCTGCTAATCAACGATCCAGAAAATCATCTTTAAGTGTCTCCACAAGCTGTAAGAGACTAAACTGCGCCTGGGTTGAGGGGAGGGGTTTTTCGCAGAGGGTCACCTACAGCCAGAAGAATTTTCCACTGAAATCCCTTTCAGTTCTTAAGGTTCACTAACAAACTTGCTTCCAAATGAATTTTGACACCTTTGGAACAGTAAGTTACAGGATTTAAGAGTTCTGGTAAACAAAATTTTAACGTATCGAAAAGCACGGGAGAGGATCTTAAGATATTAACGATATTAAGAGCATGAAACGTGTAAGTCTAAAGATACAGACATGCTGAGGGGCTGTCCCTAAGGCACTCGTTCTCCAGTCAGTATCCTAAAATCTACTTCATCAGCAACCTCTAGTCCCAGAAATATTTCCACACGCTTGGGTACAGCTCGATTTGCCTTCCGAATGTGCGGGTTTCTCTCGGCGTCCCTCTCGTCACCCAACTGCACGTTGTCACGCTGCCTCCCGTCCGCAGAGGTCCGTTTCTGGGGCATGGGGCCGGGCAGCGGAGTGGGGCCATCCAGGGGCTCCCCCAATGGGCTCTCCTGGCGCTGGGACCCCACTTTCATGGTCCCCCTGAGCTACTCCAACAACTTACCAGCACTTTGATCTGGGATACATTCAGTTTGCTGCCATGAAAAAGCAAACTCCAGTTTTTACAAGAAAAGGAGATTGGTTCCTAGTTTCCATTCCGAGATTGCAGTTTTTAGGCTCAAATATTGATCTGACAGGGGAGGAATCCCAGGACAGGAGCCAGTGTTCTCCCAGAATGGGAACAAGATCACCCCAGTCACTTAACATGCAATCTAACCTACCATTCAAACTCAGTTCTGCTAAGTCCAAAGTCCACTTAAGAAAATTCTATACTAACAGCAATGTACCTTAAGTCCTTTGCAAAAATAATTTAAAACCACTCCAGGAAAAGAAATATGATGCTTTAATATTTTGCCTAATTTGATAGGTGAGGTTTGCTCTGCCGTAGCTTACAGAAACACAGTCCTGGTCATTAACTTTGCAGGAGATAGTGAACTCTCTATTTTCTAGAACATTGTCCAGTGAGGAGACTCTTGTTTTTCTTATTTTGCTTTTACCTTAATGATTATGTTGTTAAATGGTTTTTCTGCTGCACATTTTGACACTCTTTAAGGGTTTCAGATGAGTCAGTAGTTTAGAGAGCTCAGAATGTGTGTCCTTGGTGAGCTGCTTTTCAAAATACTGACCATTACTGCAAAGCCCTCTCTATTCTCAGAGCGGTGAGAATTGGCATCGCAATCACTTACATTTTTCTTTTTCTATAAATACACACATAAATGTGCATATAAGCTTACAGGCACATAAGTTGGCACAAACTTTAAGTTTTGCAGGAGCTGGATACCGCACCAACTGATCTTGCGCCAGTTGGGTACTTGACTTTCAGGCACTATTTAACATTTAAGCCACCTTTCTGACTACCAAAATTCACAGATAAGTAGTATTATCTTGAAACCTAATAACTTAATTTTCACAAAGAAGTTTTTCTCAGGCTTTAAAAAAATCAGATTGTTAGTCAAACTGCATACATTCATACACTGGCATAAAGGATAGCTGAATTTTGAACTGTTACCCTTACCGCGTCAAAACCAACAAAGCAGGGCTCCAAGAGATGCTGGTTGAAAACTCTATTTCCCATTAACATTTTCTAAATTGCTATTTTTATGTGCAAGCGATTTCATACATCTTTGTACAAAAATAACTTGCAAAATTTTATTTTTTTAAAAAAGTATAGAAAGCATTTATCATGAAAACAAATGTCCTTATAAGCATCTCCATTTCCTGAAGGGTTTTGATCATCTCTCATGAACAGTGCTAAGGTGAGGATGACGAAGTAAGGCAAAACATCCACCTCCTTCCCCCAGGAGCACGGAAGAGAGGCGCTTGGCCAGGCCAGGGAGAGTGGCCGAGGCGGTCTGCAGGAGCTCTCCTGGCAAGAGCAGCCTCTGGTTGTGCTGAGCAAAATACCTGAAGCCAGTTTCACTGACCTGCACGTTTTCCATGCTCCACTGTTTCACAAAAATCCCTCTAAAAATCTTCATTCTGGCCTCACCATAACAATAACAAGCCCCGATTCATGGTTGCAGTGAGCCGGCACAGAGTCATCAATGTAAGCGGACTTCTACTCAGTCTATTCCCTGAGAAAAAACAGACGTGAAGACAATCACAAGACACTGCCTAAAAATCAGTGCCCTTTATTTCAAAAACAAATGTCTGCTTCATTCAAACTTTCTTTTTTCATAAATGTCCTGGTATTTATAAAAGATGACAAGATAACTATAATCTGAAAAGATTTGGCACCACTGAAATTATCTTGTAGATCTGCTTTTAAAGGCAAGAAAAAAAAAAATCAACTGCCTTAAGTTTGGGATCTTCCATTTCTGGGAAGCAGTCTAGCAGCCAATCTGGTCTCCAAAAGAAAAGAAAGCAATGCTGGTCTCCCCTGCAGGAACATCCAACAAGTCATGAAGCTGGCCAAGTGTGTTTTAAAAATAATGAGTCACTCCAAATGAGATACCAAAATAAAACGCACAAATATACACAGAATTGTAATTTTAGCACAAACATGCAAAAGCTAAATCAAGACGACATACAGCTCCCACGGCTTTTGGGCAGTCTCTGTAGCATTTCTCCCCCCATTAAAATAACTTAGCTTCAATACTCGGATTATGTTGCTCCTGGTCTTAAATTTTGCTTGCTCTTGGGAGTCTGTTGCACCAGCTCTTCCCCTGCCTTTCTGGCACCCTTCTTAGAGTCTCTCTCTGCTTCTGACTTAGCACCCTTGAACACCCAGGCCAGAGCAAACCTCCCTCTCCCCGAGGTGCTCAGAGACACCTGCTGAGATCAGCTTATGCTACAAGATTTTGGCAATGTTACTATCAGTTTGAGGTGCGAAAACTTAACATTGCTTGTCCCTGATTGCAAAACATTTGGTGTAGAGTCGCTGAATATATCGAGAGAAGAGGGTCTGTTGTCTGTGCCAGGTAAGGAGGTGGCATATGGTGGCTAGCAGTAAAACCACTCTCTTGGTGTTTGCTGGACCTGCACTGTGGGCTCCACTGGGAGAACACAGATCTCATCTACCCTGATCCTCAATTTCTCATTTCGACAGTGAGGAATTACTGTCTGTTTCACAAGGTATTGTAGGTATGTGATCCATTAACACCTATAAGGCATTACAATATTACATTAATGAAGTTCCTATAATTATCTAGATACACAACTATGGATGTTCAGTTCTTTCTGATATTCATCGTCCTTAGAAATTTTTGGTTAAACTGCTAATTGTAACATACACTTGTTTACATACGTTTTTACACTCATCTTATGTAAGGCTTGAAAACATAATCAGTTACAAAATGAAATGACATAAATTTCCCTTTCATTTAATAGAATCATATTCAGTAGTTTCAGCTCCAAAATAAAGATGCCAGATCTGAATATTTCTAATTTATAATTTATACTGAAAGACTAATCTGCAATATGAAATTGCATTACTAGTTTGTAAATACGATGCAGCAAATTTGTTTCTAAATACAGACAAAGGTTAAGCTTCTTCTTATAATAATCAAGGAATAATAGAAACATTCATGATAATGAAGATTTTATAATTAAAAGAATCAAATTCTCAAGAAACCTGGAATGAAAGTTGTGGGATGTATTCACATATCATGATATAATCTAAAGTGACTGTTCTGCAAAGCTATTTTGGATTTATGCTATATATCAGATTGGCCTGTAATGTCTGTAGGAGTCTTTCATGTACAGGTGTCCTATCTCCCAGTAAAAAGGGACGTGGGAAATTATACTACAACAGCATACACCCACCAAACCTCTGTAAAACCTTCACCAAGGCAGGCGTAAAACGGTGTAGCACTGCAGGAGAAAGGCATGTTGGTTTTTTGAATGATTGCACACACTGAGAACTAAGCAGTTCTATGACATAGCCTAAGGGATATTTATTTAAAGTTTTCACATTATAGGCCAGACAATACCCCTGAAGCTTCTCTACTCCAGATATGAGAGGTGCTCTACATTTTAAAAGCTGTAGATTCCATATCTCTTCTTGGAAGCTTCAGTGGAGGAATTTTTGGTAAAATTTCTCTGGCATAAAGTGTTTTATGAAGTCCAGCTTCTCGAAGAGCTAGCTCAACACGAAGTCTAGGGTCAGAAATGATCTGTTAAAATAAACCACAGCTATGATAAATAGAAAGAAAACAATCCTTTCCTCATACACACAGTGTAACTTTCAGGTTATCTGTGGATGTATATATTCAAAAAGTTTTAAAGACAGTCAGAAAATAAAGCCTTCAAAAGCAGAGAAACTCTACAGTGAACAAGCCTTATCTCACTGCACATATCTTGATATCATCCTTTTTAATATTAATGATCACAAACTGTTTTAACAAAGAGCCCTGTTGTCATTCCTCAGCAAAACCCAAAGGGTAGATGAGAAACTGAGCGACTTCTAATTCAGCCTACTCATTGAAGAGTTGCTGACTTCTCTAATGTTCCCCATCAACACAGCCCTGCTTTCATCACAAGATTTTTAATCCCTTCCTGTTGTTTCTATGGAATCTGAGTGCTTCAAACAAGTTTATGATTTTTCTCACAGCGTTGCCTTGTGACTACATGCCAGTACCACTTCCATTTTACATAACAACAATTAATGCCCAGGGAAATTACTTCTAAAATTTGTCAAAAGGTTCTTTGGCAAAATTTGTAAGCCTCTTTCAAATCCTTCTTCCATGGGCTACAGTGGGGGAGCAGTGAAAGTACAAGAGAGTGTCACATTGCCTTCAGTTCTAGCATCACCTGCCACAGTGCCCAGAACTGCTGGGCAGACCAATACTGGGCAACATTATCCATAACCAGCGCAGCTCTGGGATGGAGCACGCTAATATGCTTGGCAGGAATCACGTATTGCAGTCTGAGCAGTACCAAAACTTGTCTGGAGTCGAAACAGGAAGAATATTCTGAGAATTCAGGTATCAATCCCAAGTACACATGTTCAGAGCATTTTTAAGCTAAGGCTTTTCAAAACATCATACATTGGTCAGATTTGGGTAAATTTTAATAGCCAAACAAAAACTACATCTCTTGTACCACATCTCTCCTTTCCCAAACTGAGAAGCTTTAAAATGTCTTAAAATGGGAAGTACTGGACAAGCTTAGTTATAGACATCGTTAAATTTCAGCCTATTCAGTGCTAAAAGAAAGCTTTTATCCCATAGAATTATATCATAGCACTTCTCTTTCAGTAAACGTGATTTTCAAGTTCCAGAGTGGGAATAATTTCAAATGCATAGACTGAGCAGATGGAGAAACAGTAAGGGAATCAAAAAATCCTCCCCTATGTTGCTTAATTCCATTTGAAATTGAGCTAGCACTGTCCTCAGCAATCTGAGCGATCTGAAAACAGGAATATAGTTACTTCAGTTTCCTGCTTCATTTACACCTCACTGGGTTCTTCTCCTTTAGGCCTTGCATATCACATCCCAACTGACCTTCAATCCAGCAATAGCATAAGATACTCAAGTGTAAGATAGTCAAGATGCTAATTTTCAGTTTATGAAGAGTTTTGTGCTGTGCATAATCTTCCAAGAAAAAAGAACATCCCATAATTAAGTTACCTGTGACATAGCTCTTTTGTATAGTCAGGAGAACTTTTATGCTGAGTCAATTCACTTCACATACTTAGTACAACACTAACTGGAGCAGGTGAAAAGGAGGTGAGTTTTGAAATGAAAAAATAGCAAAAAGATCAGACAAAACGCCTAGCAAACACAGGAACTGCCCAATGGTCCATTTAGCCCAGTATCCTCTCTCCAGTGGAGGCAATGGGAGATGCTATTCAGGGAGAGCCCCGGAGTCCTACGCTGGACCCGAATGGACCTTTGTGGTCCACTCTTGTTGTGCTCCTCCAGCATCTACATTGGGTCAGAGAGATTACCTCAACTATTACTCCTAATGTTTTTATTTTTACACACATTATATTCTATATTCTACTGTTAATAGTGCTATTTAGGATATACTATTACTATCATATACCGCTATTAAGATATGTGTGCATACAATAAACTATATGGTATGATTACAGACAATTACCTGCTGTTCACTGTACGTATGCAACTTAAACAGTGGCTTCTGAAGGTCAAACTCTTCTTTGGTTCCAATGCCCATCCGAGCTTTAGATGCCACCGTATCGGCCACTACTCTAGCTGGATCTAATTTTGCAACAATGGCAACCTAAAATACATGATATGAAAATAACAATTACCCTTTCTATGTAGACCTAAGGTGAGAAAAGATTATTATCAATAACACATCCTTTGAGAACACGATCATTTACCTAGTTTAAAAATTGCAAAAGTTGTCTTAAACCAACCTGTATCCATATATAAAAGTTGTAAAGCTTGAAACTTAAATCCAGAGTAAACCCACTTCGATAGAGAATAATAACCAGGGAGGTTTTTCCCAATGGAGACAATTTAATTGGCTGGACTTAATACAGCACTGTGCATGCCCAGAACTGCTGTAAAGTGGAGAATTGCCTGCTACGTGGGCAAGCTTAACACAGAATAACCTGCATATTGTGAATGTCAATTGTCAGTTCTTGAAAATATAATCTGGGCGGTATTTCCATGAAAAGAGAGCTTATGTTGCTACCTCGTCATACCCCTGGTAGGAAACAAGCTTATGCTAAGCTTTAGGCTACCAGAAAACAGCACTTCCCAAATACGTGCACTACTGATCTTTGCACCGTAAGAGCAACGTGTGGTCCTGGCTGCGAAGGAGGCCTCGGCTCAGCAAGGATGCTATAAGAGAAAAGCAATAACATCCTCGGCTCTCTAGCAGAGATTGACATGAGCTCTGACGTTCAAAACCAGTAACCCAAAGGAACCAGCAGACTCGTAATTTAGCAATACCACAATTCCTGGAAGTCCAAACTTTGTTCTTTTTCTTCGGATGGAAACAAAGGTGTTCAGATCGGTAGTTCACAATTTTTACAGTCATGGGCAACAACATTGAGTGATATGCCACAAATAACATAACTCTTCGGTTTTTTTCTTAAGTGCATCTGGTTTAACTGTTTAATTTCCTGTGGTTAGATCAGTATCAAAGGTTCTCTCAGACACATTTAAAATTGTGTACGATAATTTTTTTTCCATGTCTTTAATAAAATGTCACCTTTGTATTTACAGTTGTCAAAATATACAGACTGGATGACTTTACTAAAGATCTTTTTTCTTCCCACATACAAGGGCCATATTCTATGAAGCAGTATTTCATTAGTGTGAAACACAGAAAATAAATATTGGTTAGAAAAATGTAATGAAGTGGGAACTCTACCATCCTAGTCAAAGCCCATTCTAGAAGCATTTTCTACTTTGGTAAGAGAATTGGGTCAGTCAGAAGAGATCAACAGATCATGACTCTCAACCAGCCTCTTGTAAAAACCTGACGCAAAAGACAATGCAATTCAACCAGTGACTTAGGAAAGATGCAATAGAGTTATTATTAAAAATGCATTGACAATCTAAAATAACACTGTTAATACTGCAAAATACTTAATTGAATCAGATTAGTAAAAATAAAGCATTATTGACTGGAAATGAGCCCGAGTTCAACAGTTTAAAAAATGACTGAAATAACAGACCAATGATCCCTTAGGTTTATTTATTCCTGTTATGCTCAGCTCTCCAGCCACAGAAGATGGCTTGGAGTATTTGACCTCTGTTATATTTTTCTTTCTTCTTGACTTTGTACACCCAAATGCTGAAGTGAAAGCACTTACAAGGCCACAAACAGTCCACGAGGGACTAAGGAAGAATTTCACTGGCATGCACACTGTATTGGGATGGTTAATCCTGAAGCCAAAGGACATGCTGAAGGTGAGGTCAAGGCTGCATCAAGTACCATATTTTTAACCACAGGTAGTCCCAGGGAGAAAGCTGCTGCATTAGTGCTGTTTAAATTATCCAAAATCAAAAGGGTTTGAAGAACACCTTTTCTCCCTCCCTTATTTTCCTTTGGCTGCGTATTTAGGCTGCAGTTCCTGGAGTGTAACGAACATGAACTCCAGATTTTTCCTTTTAATCTTTGGAGGAACAACCAAGGAGATTAGATACAAAAATATAAATGAAGGTAAAATTCTCCTTCAAAAATCAGCAGTAAAAAAAAAAAAACCCACTACATTTACTATGACAAACATTAACAAACATTTTTTGGGATGTCCTTTTTAAAATAACGTGCAAAAGTTTCACAGAGAGTTAAATCTCTCTCTGAAGAAAAGTCATCCAAGGTCTGTAAGTTTTCAGAATTTAAAAAGAATTTAAATTACCCATACATCTTGCCTAAGACTCAAGGCAGACTTAAGATTATTAAAAAAAACAAAAAAAATCAAAGAAAAAGAGAAATCACATCCAACCCAGAAAAAATAGTATCTATATATTTTCAGATATCAACAGCTTCTACAGTGCAATTTAACATCATAATGTTCTTGTTGTCAGAGTTACAAAGCACATAGGATTTATAACATGACAGAATTACTGTTAAAGTCAGACCAAAAGTGCATTTTAACTTCTTCATTTTTTGCTTTTGCTAGATTGTTCTTTTTATCTTTCACATAATATGACAGTATGTGTTTGTATCATTACTGTATATGAAAATACTATGTACAGGAAATGAAACCACCTGTTGTCGGAGTGCTTCCAGGCATTTATCTTTTTCCTCTTCTTCACGTGCTTTTTGAAGGGCCAGTTCCTTTTTCTCCAGCAACCGTTTTTCTAGCAACGCTTGTCTAAACTTTACCCTGCAAAACAGCATACATACAAATGGAAAAAACATTGGTCAAGTGTAATTTTAAATTTCTGTTACGAAATTTCAGTATGAAAACTAGTCTGATGTTTTCTATATCCACCTAATAATAATACGGTGGTTCATCAAAACACCTGAAAAATGCAAAAATGCTTTTTCATTTAAATGTGTTATTTCTGTTGGAGTTTTTTGGCTTGGGGTTTTTGGGGAAGGGCGGGTTGGGGAGTTGTATTTTTTAATTTGTTTTTGGGGTTTTGTTTTGTTTTTTAAACAACTTGGCTAACCTTTCAGATTTAATTTCTAGAATGCAGATTTTCTCTAGCATGCTTTATATAGCCCTGTTACTCTTTATTTCCCCCATTTTCTTTGCCAAGAAGAAATGTTCTCCGACATCTGTGTATGGCAGAAGAACTCTTTCCTATAACCCCTTCCATCAAAAGTAACAATCCTGTTACTGGAAGAAGCAAGAAAACTTGAGAATTACATCCTTCTTCAAAAGGAAAAAGCTGGAGGTTAGCACAAATAATCCTGAAACTTTACCTATGGCATTATTTTTGCTGGTCAACTTTTCACAATAGGTTTTTATAGACCTGAGAGTACTACCATGACCATATTTCCTAATAATCCTCAGTCCACTGCCAAACTCTGTTTCTTACGAAGCTGTAGGGTATTGTTTGGTATGTCACTTTTAGTCCTTATGTAGAAGTTGCCATTGCCACGCTCTGCATTCAGAGAATTATCCTTCTTTTGCCCTTCAAATTTTAACTTGCCTTTAGAGAAATGGAGAAGAAAGAGCTGCTTCAACTACAATAAAACATGTATTTTTATTTTCTTACTCTTGAAATTTTAGTAAGCTCAAAGGAGTATATAACTTGTGCTATAAAGTGCAAAAATCAGAACTAAACGTACAGTTATGGTGGTAGCTAGAAAAGACCACTGCATCAATAATCCAATAACAATTATCAGGACAAACAAATTTGTCCCAAGAGAGTGGTACAAAGCTGCCTGAGGATGCCCCAGAGAGGCTTTCAAGTTTCTTACTGTAGCCATTGTAGTTTAGGCAGATGAATGCTTACAATAGTAATCTTCAGAGGTAATTTCGTTCCAGAGAGAAAGCCTAATCTTCTTTTTATATGAAGAAAATCTAATAAAAAGTAGGTATTTGTATTTTTCTGAAAAATTACAAAAACTATATTATAATGAAAACCTTTCACATATTTAACCGTATATTGTGTTCCTAATTTGGAACATTCTTCCAATACTTTTTATATTTTTATACTTTTACTTCCAATACTTGGCTTTAAATGTTTACTTCAGCTTTGATTTCACAGTGTCCACATCCAAATAAAGTTGTTAATTCTCTTTCACTCTATTATACTTAGTAATATTTTAGCTACTATTTCTTCAAAGTAAACTTAATTTTATAGAAAAGCTTAAAATTAAAATGTCTTAATACTCAATTTTGACTTTAAGTACCACAGTAAGTAAAAATTTTAATAAATCACCAGCTGAAAAATGAGCTTAGCTGATTAGTTTCAGTAAAGCTACCTTTTTGAAGTATTGTGGGTACACACTTATGTAATTTTTGATAAGCATAATTTCATTAAAGCTCTGCTTTCAGACACTGTCTCATAAATATTCACTAGGAAATAATGAACTACTATGTTTATTATGAAAGCTTTAGCAAAACTTTAAAAAATTGGGTTATAATATAGATAGGTTTTTTGCCCTATATCACAACTTACTGATTGTCAGCTGAATAAATCTCATATAAACAGTAGAAAGCATTATCTTAGTGGCTAAGGGCCACTTGTATTTCCACCTGTGACAGGCTGAATCGATGCACAATGTTGCCAAGGCACCAGGCAGCTGGGACAGAAAGTGTTTTACATACTAATTTGAACATTTCAGAAGTAGTCACCGGTTCCCATGACAAAACTCATGGGCCAGATCCTTTGCTAATTTATGCTGCAACTGCAGTCAAAGCGCTGTGGCTATGTCGGGGTGCACAGCCTAATCCAGCTCTCAGCTCTAAAGACATTCTTAAATGTAACAGCACAAGCTCAAAGCAAAGCTGCTGTGAACATCGACTCCACCAACAGCCCTCTCGTTTGCCCAGGTTTATGAATGGTTTTAACACCCAATTATTTGCCCACAGTTTTCCTGGATTCTTTCTGTTCTGCGCCCTTCAACACAGAGCACCAACTGGAGAGGGGGAGTTGGCGAGAGCTGTACCTCAGGAAGGGGAGAACCCCGAGGCAGGGCAAGAGGGGAGAGAGGAAAGGCTATCTCCACGCATTCCCAGCAAGGAACTGCTGCAAAGAGCACAAGGGATGGGAGAGAAGCGATACATAAGCACCTTCACTCCCAGCATGCGATAAACAGAGCCGCATGGCAAATAGCTGCCATTGCTCCGTTTCTGATGGTTAGTCAGATAAAATTGTTGCAAAGAGCAATCCTTTCCCACCGACTCTCCCACCCCTGCCCTTTGAATTCAGGGCCAGGACTGGCAGCAGTACAGGTGCTGGGTCAAAATGCTTGCAAACGTTTCCCTGGAGAACAGGACTGTGCCAATCTATTTCTCATAGATAGCGAGTGAAAATATTTGCACAATTTCATGCCAATTTAATTCTCACCCTGCAACATTAATGCAAAATGTATTCCTTGGGGGGGATGTTCTTTCAGAATATTTTATGTATATTCAATCCATCCCATACCTAAGGGAACCGATGGAGGACCTGACTGAAATTCGCCACATAGATTAAAAAAGGGAGAAGTGGACTGTTGGCAACAGACAAACATCTGCCCTTTTGGATGCTAATTCTTGAAGCACAGTAAGACTTAAACGCAGTCTGTAGTTCTTGGTTAAAAAGAGAGCTTATCTCTCACATTAAAAGAGAGCTTATAATTCAGTGTCCTAAAGACATAGGCATGGAGACCTAACTGAAGACATTTAGAATAGCTGAATGTGTGATCCTATGTACATATAAAGGACCAACCGCAGTAGATGGACATCCATGCTTACATTTCTACTTTCAATGGGCCACATGCAAATGTATCTTGCCAACACTAACTTCTTACCCCCAAAGTAGTCCCACCAGCTACCCCAGCTTAATGGGG